TCCCCACTCTAAGCTGCTTGAGACAGGACACTGATTCCCAACCTTTCTTGATCAGACAAATCTCCTAGGGCACCCATTAAAATGTAGATGCACGGGCCTCGCTCCACCAAGCTCCACCTGGCTCGCTGAACCATTGTGGTTCAGCAGGTCCAGGGCCCAGGAATCTGTGTTCCTAACCCAGGGTCCCAGGTGATTCCTATAATTGATTGGAGTCGTTGAGGTCAGACAGGTAGAAGTGCATGCTCCTAGCAAAGCAGATAGCCTGTGCAAAGGTCCTGGGACAAGAAAGTGGTGAGATCAAGGAATCCCATCAATGTCTTCCACAGTGCTAGCAATAAAATCTTCATGCCTTTTGCCAAGATTTGTAGGCCTACAGCCCTCCGCCGCCTCTTCAGCTCACAGCATAGCCCCTCTCTCCTGGCTCACTAGCCCAGCCACATCGATGTCTATCAGTCTGGGAAATAAGCCTGCATGTTCACTGTTCCTCTGCTTGAAATGCTCTCTCCCTGGTCTTACTATGGCTTATTCCTTCCCACCCTGCACATTTCAGCTTAAATGTCATCTCACAGAGCCCTCCCCAGCCACCCGTCTTAGGCAAGGGTCCCCATTCATCTCTAGAATCATGCCCTATTTGTTTATTTTGTGGCACCAATAATTATGGAGAACTATCTTGTTAATAGGTGTTTCCTTGAGGCCAGGGACTCTGTTTTGTTCACAACCAGGTCACTAGTGGCGAAATGAGCACCCAGCACATGCAGTAGCAGGCAGGGGCAATCTGTGGAACAGATTAAGAGTTCTGTGTGGAAGGGGTGGGAGAGGGGCAGGCCAAAGTGGGACATGGGAAACAGGAGCCAGAGTACAAATGTTCAGAGTGGTGCTGCCAACCTCCACCCGCCCCTGCCCCAGGAAGATGGGCTTGAGTGCCCCATGGTGGCCCTGGCTGGATGTTACCTGCGTGGTCAGTCAGCTGGTTATAGCTCAGGTCCAGGGATTTCAGTCCCGTGTGGGCCAGCAGGAGTTCAGCAAGGTACTGGGCTGCGTGTTCCTCCAGGCTGTTCCCTGCCAGTTGTACCTTCTGCATGGTTAGGTTCACCGTGAGGGCAGCACAGATCGCCTGCACTCCCACCACTCCCATCTGGTTCTCCGACAGGTCCACATCTAGGGTTTGGCAGCACTCCTGCATCAGTGGGATCCAAAGCCAGGCACCACCTTCTTCCACCTTCCTCTATCCCCTAAACCTCCAGGCCTGAGGCAGCGGAGGAGGCGATACAGCTGGACTATCCTGGGGTTGCACGGTGACTCTGCCTCTCATCAGCTGCACCCATCCCCGCAGGCCCCAGGCAGCTTCTCTGATGCCCACACCCTCTCCATGCATCCACGAGCTTCTTTGTCTAGCGGCTCAAACCGCCTACTTCATGGTGCTGTATAGGATACCTGTGAGGGCGAGGCAGCCACCCCGTGGATGATTCATGCCTGGCAGCAATATAACACACCCACAGACGTCTTCACCAATGAATTTCTGGGAACTAGCAATGACAGCCCAGGTGGCCATGCACAGAGCACGTATGTGAGCCGGGCACCTTGGTGAGCCCTTCATATGCGGTTTCATTTCATACTTAGCACAGCCCCAAGGGCTAAGTGCTACTGTTGGGGCCATTTCACAGATTGAAAACTAAGGCTCAGCAAGGTGGAGCAGCTTGCCTGGGGCCCCCTTGCTCATCAGTGGTAGAGGTGGCGTTTGCATCCAGCCCCACTTCATTTCCACCCAGCCCTCCACTGTCTCACATCGCTTATCCCCTGCCTCTCTGTTGGAGGACTCTCTCATCCAGCATTTAGGCAATAGGAGGCCACCATATGCAGGGGGTTGCTGGCCAGAAGAGAAAGGGAGTGGGGGGAGGGCCGGGTGAGGAGAGGAGTAGTATCCAGCGTTGGGGGCACCACAGAGAGTCTACCTCCACCTGCACCCACCCCACCCTGTGATGAGGCCCCTGCCCCAGCAACACCAACAGGCCCCGGGTGAGAAGACCCAGCTGTGGGGGAGCCCACACCCCTCAGGAAAGGGAGGACTCAAATCTGCCCACCTGCCCCACGCTCAGCACCTACCACAGATAGTGCTGCTTTTGCTCAGGGCACCTGCCAGAGCCTCCACGCCGGCCCCACAGAGCCCATTGTCTCGAAGGTCCAGCCGCTTGACATAGGGATTGGAGGTCAATGGTGAAGCCAGAGCCCGGGCACCCTGGGACAAAGAGGGGACTGGGGGACCTGGTCCTTCCCAGGGGTGAAGGCCCCAGACACAGCTGGCCAGTACCCTGGTTCATTTCCAGGACTCACCCCACCCAGTGCCCTCCAACTAGAAGGCCCTCCCCTTCCCACATGCCCAGGGGACACCTTATCCCTCTAGGCTCCACCCAGATCTTACCTCCTGGAACCTTCCCTGACCGACCCCCCCAGCAGGTTAGGGGCCCCCTGCAGACCCTCCAACCCTTACACTGAATTTTGTCATAGCCCTGATCCCACCTGTCACCCAGAAGTGGGGATGGGACATGTCTGACACAGAGCAAGGCCAGGGAGTATGTGGTATGGGCTCAGGAAGGGGCCACTCCTATGGCTGCTGCCTCTCTCCAGGGGTCTCTCCAGGGTTACCTGGGGCCCCAGGCCATGGTGCCTCAGGTTCAGCTCTGGGGTGCTCACTTGGCGCAGAAAGCAGGAGGCAGGCACACCACTATGGGCCTGGCAAGACCTCAGGTAGACGGTGTCTTTGACCAGTCCTCCAGGCCCATGGATACCTGATAGGAGAAAGGGAGATGATGAATGTGGATCCCTCTCCAGACACAGTCGCCTACTCCCCTGCCCTGTGTCACCGTGCAGACTATGTTCCCCTCTAAACAATTCTAAGTTCTATACATTTATTAGCTTAGTTGTTCCTGTGGGTTGGGAAACCCAGCCCTGATCCTATTTCGGGGTGGGACACCCCTTCTTACATTGTTTGGCGGAGTTTAACATCACTCACTTTGGAGGCGTTTTCTAAAGGTGCAGCTCCTGATGCCGCCAGGAGCATTATGGGGAGGGCACGGGGTCAGCTGGAGGGGCCGCCCGCTGTCCCGAAGGTGTCCCACGGAGGGGTGCGCTCCCTGCTGGACAGGGTTCCCTAGCCCGCTTGGCCCCAGCCTGCCCCCTCCAGCCCTGCGGGAGAAGCGCCCTAGGTGAGGAGACAGCACCTTCCATCTCCCGGTCGGAGTCTGAATCAACGTCCGAACACTCCTCGGCCTCCGGGGCCCCTGCAAGACGCCCAGCGGCCGCTGCCACCCCTTCCTCCTGCTCTTCCTTCTCCCCGGACCTCTTGCAGGGAGCCCTCATCGTTACGCCCATTTCTCAGTCGCAGGCACTGAGGCGGGAACAGGGCGGCCAGCACCTAGAGCGTTGCCCGGGGATGTGGGCGGACCCTCCGGCTGAGTTGACCAATCGAATGTGGCGCACAGCGAACGGGCGCCCGCTACAACCAATAGAGACGTGCCTCCGTTGCAGTCGCCCGGGCAACCCGGTGTTGTTGGTTGCTACAGAAACCGCCGCTGGCGTGGGCCGACCTTTAGCTTACTCAGTCTGGGCAGATATGAGAGCGTGCGCCGGGGTTCCAGCATCGCCCCCACACCTTCCACGGACTGGGGAACATGGCTGACTCCAAAGCCTGTGCTTTTTGTCCCTACGGCCTGCGGGCGCACTGCGCAAGAGAGCCTGGGGAACCTTGCAAAGCCCGGTCACCCTCCCCTCTGGAACCAGAGTCACGCTCTCACTCCGTGGCTGCCAATTCTCTCTCATGCTCTAGCGTCGCATATACTGCTTCCTCCACCAGGAACATTCCTCTCCAACTGTGCTTGTTGAATTTCAGAATCTGCAAGTGTCAGCTCAGAGGTCACTTCTTCTTGAAGCTTTCCCTGACCCCCCGCCCCCGGGGCTCCTGCAGCCCCCAAGCTGCCCTCTCACAGTACCTATTGATGGGGGAACAGAAGGCAAGCTGACGACCAAGCCGAAGCCAGTACCCTACAACCCCCCACCCCCCTTTGGGATATATGTGACATTCCTCAGGCACTCCTGGCTGCCCTAAAGGAAAAACAAATGGTTAACTGATAGAGATCACAGTCTTGCAGGACAGGAGTCTCCCTCAGTTTACAAATGTCCTAGTGATTTACAAGGAAGAAGCTTTCAATAGCCTAACTTCCAAGAGACCCATAACTCAGTTTCCTGAAGCCCTAACATCACCCTCCCCTCCATAAACTTAAGGGAGGCTGAGGCGCAAGGAAATGTAAATAAAATTGAGTTTCTTCTGAACCTAAAGCGCACTGACAAGGACATGTGATAGGAGGAATGTAACATTCCTCCAGGAAACTCCCAACTGTCTTCATGTTAGTGCCTCATTAGAGGGAAAAACAGCAGTGGCTTGACAATAACCAAGCCTCTAGTATCCCGAGAGTCTTTAGCAAATGACAGTCCTTCTGGACACCCCCTTTGTCCTCACCGCCACAACTCCTGAGTATGTAATCAGCCCCTCCTCAAGACCACAGGGCAGCCCCTCTTTCTGCCCACAGGGCCTGTCCCCGTGCTTTAATAAACCTCCACTTTGCACCAAAGGCGCCTCAAGAATTCTTTCTTGGTCGTCGGCTCCGGACTCCACCCCACTGAACCTCACCTATATTCCAAAACTGCATCACCTATGACACTTGTCATCTCCTCCTCCCTCCCTCCCCCAACGAAGTGAAGCCAGAGAGTAGGGTTGCAGAGGCTTCTCCTCTCTGCGGGGGCCCTGGGCCCCCTCAGAAGGAGAGGGTGGGAGGTCCTGGGCAGCCAGGGGTTGACTCTGAACCCAGGGCTGGGGGGTGGCGGCTGGATCCTGTCCCCAGTGGAAGTGTCCCTTTAATAGCTTGCTGGCCTGGGCCGGCTAGGGCGCCTGCTTTACCTCCCATTCAGCTGTGGTTGCTGCCACTGTGCTGACTCATGCGCCCCAGCTGCCCGCAGGAGCTGGAAGCATGGGCTCCCCAGGGGCCTTGGCAGGCTGGGGGCTTCTGGATTACAAAACGGAGAAGTATGTGATAACCAGGAATTGGCGGGTGGGCGCCCTGCAGAGGCTGCTGCAGCTTGGGGTTATGGCTTACGTGGCAGGGTAAGAGAAAGACTCCTGGGCCACACTTGGCTGGGGGGATAATGACTCGGCCTGCTGGGCGGAGGGTTGACGGTCTGACTCTTCAGGGGCTGAGCTGGTGGTAGCAGAGGGGAGCAGGTTGGGACAGGGAGGAAGTAGGCAGAGGGAGGATCTTTGTCTGTCTAGAAGCCAGTGGCTACAAGAGCAAGCTGTGGGCCTGGGTCCTCCTGTGTGCCCACCTGCTTCCTTTCCTGGGCCTTGTTTCCGGGTCCATATTGATCTCTGGGCACAGAGTACCCACGAGGCCCCTGGTGGGGCAGGAGGTATAGTCCCTGATGCTTGGGAGAGCTGGGAGACCACCAGTTTTAACTGGGTCAGAGGAGTCTTTAAGGAGGACTTGGGCCTAGCCAGGGCAGGGGGAGGGTGTTGGCTGGTGAAGGAGGTGGTGGTGGGCATCTCCAAGCCCATGAGTGCCTGATAGGGGACACCCATGAAAGGCACTGGCTGTCTGATCATGGCTGGAGCTTCTGGCCTGTGCAGGGTGTTTGGGGTGGGAAATGAGGCTGGAGGGGAGGCAGGGGCCCTGAATGCTGGGCTGGGAGCCTGGAGGGTGTGTGAGGAGAGAGGCCGAGAGGGCGGGGCCCGCTCTGCCACTGCTCACCGTGGACCAGAGACAGGCCACACTGCCCACCGCTTCTTCCTAAGGTGGGCTCTCCTCGCCAAAAAAGGATACCAGGAGCGAGATCCGGACCCCCAGATTTCCGTCATCACCAAACTCAAAGGGGTTTCGGTGACCCAGATCAAGGAGTTGGGTAACCAGCTGTGGGACGTGGCGGACTTTGTGAAGCCACCACAGGTAGGTGCCTTGGTCCTGCTGCCAGGCAGTAGCACCTCTGACACCACCTTTGCGGCGAGTGTGTGTGTGAGGGGCATGTGAGGCCCGAGCGGGGTGCTGGCACCGCATCGGGTCGGGCTTGGGAAGGGCCTTACAGAGGAGTAGTGCCTGGATGGGGCTTTCCGGGATGTGTAAGAGGTTTCCAGGTGGACAAGGAAACAGAACAGGAAGCCAGGCCAGAGGAACTGTCTTTATAAGGGCTGCCCCTGGAAGAGTGGAATGCTTAGGAACTCAAGGCTGGAGCTTGAGGGTGGGGCAGGAGAAGTGGAGCGGACCAGGGTCTGGAGCTTTCGGAATGCTCCCCTCCCTGACCTGGAGCACGGCTCCCAGGTGCTCCTCCTCTGCCCCCTCCCACACAGCATTTCCAGCTCCTTCTTCCCCCACCCAGATTGTCCACAGCTTTGGTTTCTACCTTTATCCTGCCAATGCCAAAACTGTAGCCCCAGTGACTGCCTGCCCCAAGTGCCACCTGCCTCCTGGGTTCACACCCACCACGTCCAAAGAGAAATCGTCTCCCTCTCCCGGGGTGGCCTCTTTTCATCCAGTGAGGGCCAAAGCTGGACCTGTGCCTCCCTTCTGTGCATACTCTGTCTCCTAGCAGTGTTCACTGCTGCCTGGGTCATACCTCGATGAGGCTGTGAGCTTCTAGTGGGTCCCCGGTGCGCGCTGCCCAGCAGCCAGCCTGAGCTTTCCTATGTGATATCAATCAGAGCCTGCCGAACCTTGTTTCCACTCTGGGAAGACTCCCTTTCCATGGTGGTGGCCACCAAGTCCAGATCTTCGCCACTGTCACACCCGCTGCCTTCTCTCCTTCCTGGGTGTGCATTGCCCCAAACTTGCAGAGCTCACACATGCAGCACTTGGGTGTCAGCCACCCGGCCTGTCCTCACCCTCCCTTTGCCCAGGTGGAGCTCATCCCCTGCTCCTCTCGCCCCTGACCATGCATGCAATTGAGGGGTCCACCTCCCCCTTACCTTGGGCAGGTCCCCAGTCCAACTCAGCTCTGGATCTTCAGTGCCTAGGAGCAGGAGGCGCTTGGACAATTCTGGTTGAGAGAATGAGTATGAACATGAAAAATACACTTGTCTCAAAGAGGCAGCTGTGGGCTTCTCGAAATGGCCAGAAACCCAGCCAGCCTCTTATCTCTACTCCAGCTGGCTTCACTGGAGGCACTTTCCTGACTTGATCGGGCCAGGACCCTTTTCCCCACCAGCCAAGCTGCCAGTTCTGGCCTCTCCCTTTGGGGGAGGGAAGCAGGGACCAACCCTGACGCTTGTTTTCTAGGGAGAGAATGTGTTCTTCTTGGTGACCAATTTTCTCGTGACGCCAGAACAAGTTCAGGACAGATGCCCAGAGGTAAGGCTGCCCAGGAGCTTCCCAGCAGGTCCCTAGTTCCTGTGCCAGCCCTGGGTCACCAGCCATGTACCCCGTTCTCCTTCCCACATAACCGAGGGTTCAGTATGTGCTCCTGTATCTCAGGCACTGGGCTAAAACCTTTTCGTGAATCATTCCACTTAATCTTCACAAATACCCTGCCTGGTAGGAATTACTGTGATCCCAGCAAGGTAGACTCACGTGCTCAAGGCTGTCCAGCCTCTGGACCTCTGAGCTGTTTTCTGGAGCCTTCCACCATAGCCCTCTGTGAGATGTCCTGGCCCTTGCCGTCCTGGTCCCACCTCTGGGCACCCTTCAGGTTGTCAGTGTAACACACAGAATTGGGTACAAGGCTCAGGTGAGCTCTAATAGCAAGAGGCTAGATCACCTTCTTTTTTCCTCTTTTTTTTTTTTGTAAGATTTATTTATTTATTTTTAGAGAGAAAGAGCGTGAGCAAGTGTGAGCAGGTGTGTGTGGGGGGGTAACTGGTGTAGAGGGAGAGAAAGAATCCCGAAGCAGGCTCCCTGCTGAGCGAGGAACCCCATGTGGGGCTCGATTCAAGGACCCTGAGATCATGACCCGAGCCAAAATCAAGAGCCAGCCTCTTAACAAACTGAGCCACCCAGGCGCCCTGATCATCTCCTCTTTTCTATGCTCAGTCTCTATTAATGTGTCCCAAGTCAGCTTCCGTTTTTGTGGCCAAACAGCATACTCCTGCTGATGCTGAGCTCAGGGTCACTTATGATCTCTGGATATTTTTCACTACAACTGTGGTCACACCAGAGTCTCTCACTCCCTATTCTTGTCTATTTCTCATCCAGAATCACAGGTTTTCCGCCTGAAATCTCAACTTTTCCCCTTGCCCGAGGGTGTCCCACAGATCCAGTGTCTGTCACAGAGCACACTTACTCTTCTCTCCTGCTGTGGGTTTTTTTCCAAAAATATTTTTACTGTGATAAAATACATGTGACATAAAATTTACCTTCTTACCCATTTTTAAGTGTATGGTTTCCAGCTGTGGATTTTGTTTGAGCAGTTGGCACCCAAGACATAGCCCTGGAAGCCTACCTCTATGGTGACCTCTTTTTAAAATCCAGGCTAACATTTAATTGCTTACGGGGCTGGAGAGTACCTGTGTGCTCACCTGTCCCCTATGTCCTGGTTGTTGGTATCACCACAGATGCTGGGGGTGTCACATGTCCCAGGCTGGCCCCATCCGCAAAGGAGGTAAAGCATGTGCACAAAGGATGTGCAAATGCACATGATGTCTTTCTTTTCCCAAACGTTCAGAAGACATCTAATTAATGTTGAGTGTGTAGGCTGTCCTGAAATTTTGCTGAAGCCATCATTCTGCGTTTTCTGGAATCCATGTGATTCCTCTTTGCCTCATGTCCTGGCTTTGAGCTCTTCCCATGAAACTTCCAGGGCTGGGAAGGAATTCATCAGATCTGACAACATGACTTCCTGAGACTAGCCAGCGTTCCTGCCATCTCCTCTTGGGGTCCTGGTCACCCAGTCCCTCCCAACACATGCACTGTTCTTCTTGGAGAGCCCAGCCTCCAGCAAATCCCTGCTGAGCCTCGGGGCGGGTTGTGTGTGTGGGTGGGTGGGTAGGGGGCAGGCCCGATGCTGGGGATGCAAAACTCCACTGCTTGTATCTCAAGCAGCTCCTGCCTAGGCAGCCCAGCCAAGGAGGCAGTTCCTGGGATGCGGGCAGAGCCCATAGCTGGAGACCCGGCGAGGCATGTCTGCCGGCCCAGGGCCTCAGGAAGGGTTTCCCACAGGAGGAGACTCAAGTGGGATCTTGAGAATGTCCAAGCAGAGGGAGCTGTGTGAGCAAAGGCCCCAAGCTATGTGAGATGAGGCACCTCCGGGGTCACCTGCTTCAGAGTGGGGTTGGAGCCTAGATTTGGATTGAGGTGGCAAGGAGGTAACCCGAGATCTCAGGGCCCTGTGAATTCTGCTAAGGAGCTGAACTTGATCACAGGAGTGTGGCGGAGCCTGAGATGGTCTCTGCTGAATGAATGGAGGCAGATGACGCAGAGACCAGGCCCTGTGGTGGTCACCATGGGGTCCGATTGGAGGAGATGGCAGCCCAGCCGGTGGGGGAGAGGAGGGGTGGACTCAGGACACAGGTGGCCCTACTCTGTCCTCTGCCCACTTATCACAGTCCCCACCCCTCACGGTCCCACTGTCTCATTTGGCCTAGGGTCCCCGAAACCTTCTTGCCACCGTGGCACTGGGCTTGTGAGCCAGGTGACCCGAACCATGGCGTTCATTGTCGGCCTAGGGCGGAATGTATCTGTGAGAGTGTGCTTTCCTCTCCAGGCTCTAGGGCCCCCAGAAAGCTTGCTACCTCCCCCTTCTGACTGACCCCTAGAATACTGTGAGCGTGCAGGCGCTAATGTCCCTGTTTTATGGAAGAACAAGCAGTGTGTGTGGTCCTACCCACTTCCCTACCCAGACCCCTCCAACCAGGGCCCTGGCCTCTGTTCCCCACACCCAGTGCCTCCACCCTGGCATGAACTTGACCTTCCCAGAGTCCCTTCACCTTCCCTGTTCTGTCATCTGAGTCGGACCAGAGGATCTGGGCCTCCGGCAGGGAGAGAACTATCAGGAAGGAAGGAAGCTTGCTGTGCCTTGGAATACAGCACCTGAATCCCTAGCTGGCCGGGGGGCTGCTCGCTACCCTCCTCTGACCACCTCCTTTCATTTGTACCCTCCAGCTTTCCCATGTGCCCCCCAAACTCAGGCATCTCTATGGGGCTGAGGCAGTGGGGGCCACACCTGTGTCCCTGCAGGCTTCAAGGCTGGGTCACAGAGGGGAGCCATACCCCGGGCCCTTGGCAACTCTGCTTTCCCCACCTCAGCACCCCTCCATCCCGCTGGCTAATTGCTGGGCCGATGAGGACTGTCCCGAAGAGGAGACAGGGACGCACAGCCACGGTAACTGTGGGCCCTGTCTTCCAGTGCCTCCCCTGGGTGGGGTGTCCAGGGGCTGGGCTGGGACCCTGGGTGGCTCTTGAGGGCAGGCCTGGTGGTGCCTCTGCGTCTCTCCTTTCTGTCAACGGCCCCCTAGCCCTACCCCCGCCCCTCCCCTGGCCCTGTGGAAATTTGAGGGCCTGGAGTTTGTCTTTTTTTCAAGGCATAAAAACGGGCCAATGTGTGGAATTCAATGGGACCCACAGGACCTGTGAGATCCAGGGCTGGTGCCCTGTGGAGAGCGGCACCGTGCCCGTGTAAGTGTGTCCCCCGCCGCCCCCTCCGGGACAGGGCCCCAGAACCGCAGAGCCTGCCCTTCACTTCTGCTCTGCCCGCAGGAAGCCCCTACTGGTCCAGGCAGAGAACTTCACCCTGTTCATCAAAAACACTGTCACCTTCAGCAAGTTCAACTTCTCCAAGTAAGCGTGGGTGGGTCCTGCTGGCCCCAGACCCTCCTGGTCTCCTACCTGGCCTGACCCCCGTCCCATCCCCCACCCCCCAGGTCCAATGCCTTGGACACCTGGGACGCCACTTACTTCAAGCGCTGCCGCTATGACTCACGCTACAGCCCCTTCTGCCCCGTGTTCCGCATTGGGGACCTCGTGGCTGCGGCTGGAGGGGTCTTTGAGGACCTGGCATTGCTGGTGGGTCCACGGGTTCCAGGAGGGCTCAGGGAGAGGGTCCGGAGCCTATGTGCTGGTGAAGCAGCGATGTGCCGTGTGCAGGGAGGTGCCGTGGGCATCCGAGTCCACTGGGATTGCGACCTGGACGCTGGGGGTTCCGACTGCCGGCCCCACTACTCCTTCCAGCTTCAGGAGAGGAGCTACAACTTCAGGTGCGGCCCCCACTGCCCTCTAGCTGCTCCTTGGCCAGGTCACCCCTCCACCCGTGTCCTCCTGTGGCAGCCAGGACCCACCACACGGCGGCCCACCCCTCCGGGCACTCCACTGTGTGTGCAAGGGGGGCCCCAGGGCCAGGAGGGGTGTTCTCAGCCTCTCTCCTTATCCGGTCCCCCTCTGTCCCCTGACACTCCTGCCCCCCCGCCCCCCCCCCCCCCCCCCCCCCCCACCTCTAGCATCTCCCTCCTCCGCACAGGGGCGTTTCTTTTTTACTTTTGCCTTAGGTCTTATCTAAAAATTCTCAGAAACCTATAGAAAAGTTCAAAGATTAGTACTGTGAACACCCGTACCCATACACCCTTTATCTGGGTTCTCTAAGGGGTTTTTGTTTTGTTTTGTTTTGAATTTTATTTTTTACCATTTTGCCACATTTGCTTTCTCTCTCCCTCTCTAGAGTAAGCCGGATTTATTTATTTATTTATTTATTTAGATTCATTAAAATATTTATTGCGATTAAAAGTGATTAAAACTTTGTCAAAGAGGTGAGGCAAATGCACACATCATAGAGAGCCAAGTGTAAGGGGTCTCTGAATCACAGCAGTCAAAAGAAAAGTGCTTTAGGAGATCAAGAATGAGATTGCTTCCAGCTGGATATATGCAGACAGATTTCAAAGGGAACTATTTGAAAGCGAGTGCCAGAAGAATGAGGACCTTCCCCACGTGACTGCTGTCGCCTTGTCACACTCAAGAAATTTAACATTGGCAGAAGAAATCTAATATTTAAATTTCCCCAACTGTGCCAGTAATAGTCCTGTATCTTTTTATCTTCCAATCTGGGGATGCACTCAGGGACCTTGCATTGCATTTACTGTCGCATCTCTGAGTCTGCTAAACAGACCTCCCCCCCACCCTGCCAGTATCCTCCTGCCACTTCCTGTCCCCTGGTCATTGTCACGAATATGCACACAACAACCACCAGGCCTAGAGGTGATGCCCCTTGATGTCCCCTTTACCCTTTAGACTCACACAGCTCAGGGCTTGCCTCCCTCCCTGCCCTCACCCCCCCGACCAATGCCTGTGTAGGGACCCTTCTGTCCCCTCTGTCGCCTGAGCAGACAAGGAGCTTCCAAGAGGCGGGAGGTCCCAGTTTGCTTTTCCCCTGTGTTCCCAGCAATGACACAGGGTTGAGACAGCTGGGGCTGGGGGTTTATAGAGTCAGTGGACGTTACCCATCCAGGCAGGAGGCCTGGAAGGGCCGGGCCAGCCCAGGAGCGGCAGCAGAGCAAGACACCACATTTTCTTTCCTGCCCTCAGGACAGCCACTCACTGGTGGAAGGCCTCAGGTGTGGAGGCCCGGAGTCTGCTCAAGCTCTATGGGATCCGCTTCGACATCCTCGTCACTGGGCAGGTAGGAGGTGCTGCGTGAAGGCAATGGGGGGTGGGGGTGGGAGGGGGAGATAGTCACAGCCCTAGAGGCTCAGTCCAGGTCGGTCTCAGGCAGGGAAGTTCGGGCTCATCCCCACGATCATCACTCTGGGCACTGGAGCAGCTTGGCTGGGTGTGGTGAGTCTGGCCAATGTGGGCTCCCTCTGGCTACAGCGACTGTGTACCCAGGATGGCCCAAGTGCACTCCAAGCACCCCGACCCCCACCATGCATGATGTTGAGTCTGGGGGTGAGGGCTGGGGAGGTGGCCGAAGGGCAGGCTGAGGGCCAAGACACAGGTCTGCCCCGCCTCTCCCAGATCACCTTCTTCTGTGACCTGCTACTGTTGTACGTGGATGAAGAAGCCCATTTCTACTGGAGTACCAAGTATGAGGAGGTAGGCTGCGGGCCTGTCCGGACCCTGGGCTCGGCTACATTTTGGAGGATACTGACCAGAGCCCTGATCTGATGTTCTCATCTGCAGGCAAAGGCCCCGAAGGTGACCACCAACCCTGAGCAGACAGAGCCAGCTTCTACACCCCCGCACGTGGCTGCCCAGGTGTCTTAGAGGGGGCCCAGTCTGGGAACCAGACACCAACACCAGAGTGGCCCATGCCCAGGCTCTGGCCCCCACTCACTGGCCTGTTCCTGAGGCTGTTTCCTGCTGGTTGCCGGGTGGGGACCCCATCTTGGGGAGCTGCTGGATAAAGCCCCAGCAGGACCAGGGTCGGGGGTGGGGGGAGAATTACACCCTTCCACTCCCAGACAGACTGACCCTTTCCTGACTCCAGCTTCAGCAGGCTGCTGCCTGGGGGGCCACAGAAGCCAGTTTTGTAGAGACCTGCAGCAGAACAGGAGCCACGGAGAAGGGGAGACCCTGGGGCACCCATGTGGCAGGGTAGTGGGCCAGTGGGGCTCCTGCTGTGTCTAGGTCTAGAGAACTCTCTCCCAGTCCCCGTCAGCAGTGTTCCCAGCGGTGGCCTGCTCACCAGCTGTCAGCAGCAGCCCTCCCACTGGCTGTGGCAGACTCCAGCCTCCAGCCCCCCTCCATCTGCCAGCACCTCTAGCGTAGGTAGAGCCCCTCCGTCTCAGCTGTGCTGCACCGGGGGCTGTGCAACCAAAGTCTGAAGCAAGGTAGAAAGAAGCCTGACAGGAGGGGTCAGGCTGCTCTGGTGTTGGATTGCCTGGGGCAACCTACCCAACTCTGAATGAAGAGTGAGTAGGCAGATAATCCAACCCCTACGGACCCCCAGGCAAGGACACAGGCACCCTTTGGTCTCACACCGGCCCAGTTGATGAGCATCAGCCCCTCCCTGGTGGTGGCCCTCAGGCTATGGGGTTTGGGATAGGGAGGAGAGACTGGAGGGCCTGAGTTGGTGGTCACTGGGTCCTTTGGGATCTTCTGTAAGGCTCCTCATTAACCACCCCTCCCCAGCCCACCCCTAGAAACTGCTCACTGGAGCCATGGGGGTAGGGAGGCTGTACATCTGGAATTCACTGCTACCCAAGGTCATAGCTAAGAACCTGTCAGGGCATCTGCTTGTCCCAGCCTGAGGCAATTGCATTCAGGAGACCTTGAACATAACCCTAGGTAGAGCCCAGTGGCTGGAAGGAATGTCCCTCACAAAGGACACAAAGGTGCCCCGCAGGCTGGCTTGGTATCTTTCTGGAGTCTGATTCCTGCCTGCTGGAGAATTTCCCCTGTCCCAGAGTCCCACAGTCAGGAGGGGAGGAACAGGGGCTGCAAGAGCCAAACTCCCTGTGGTCCCAGGGCAGAGGCAGGAATTTGGGAGAACCCACCCGAGGGAGGCAAGGGCCTTCTCTCTCATGGGTCCCTGGTGACCAAGGGTGAGCTGGCAGCTTGGCAGCGGAGCCACAAAAACCAGTTGGGGAGGGCCAGGGCTGGGGCTCAGGCTGGGCTAGCATCTGGAATCATCTGGCACCTGGAGCCTCAGCAAAGCCTTGGGGTCTCCACTGCTTCTCAATCCCCAGAGACGTGTCCATGGGGAGGCAGGTTCAGGAGAGCCAAGGTGAGAGAACATGGCTCTGAGGCCTGGTTATTGGAGTGGGGTCACATGTACCTGGTTGTGCTCAGGGCTCTAAGTGGTCATAGCTGCAGAAAGTCAAGGAGTAAAGCCTGCTCAAACCAGCAGCTTCCTGTGTAGTCCTTATAGGCAAGAACGGGGAGTTGGAAGCATCTATGATGGACATAGCATGGCTTTAGGGAGACCAGTGGGGAAAGGGGAAGGATGGGCCTGCGGACCCCCACCTCACAGCCACCAGCTGGGCTCAGCGGTACTTGGAGCAGGCCCAGGCCTTGTGCATCCGTACGCAGGAGTGTATACCATACATGTGTGTAATATCCTAAGCCTTTATCGCAAAGCCCTTGAGGGAAGGGGGAGAGTACCAGCTGTGACAGCTAGACAGCTGTGGCCAGGGCCTGAGGCTGGAAGCAGCAACACGTTGCCTCAGTCTGCATGTGGGTGTGCATCGTCAAGGTGGCCATGCAGGCACGTGCCCCAGAGGAGCCCTGGGCAGGCCTCGGGGACAAGCTATGCTTTCTGGGAGCCTTGGGAACCCAGGAGGACCCTGGAACTCCACTGCCCTTTGTAGGTGACCTTTTTGGGGCCCAGGTTCTGCTCTCTGGATCTCCCCCTCCAAGGGACATGTGGGGAGCCTGTGATGGGGGGAGCCTGACTCTGCCCTTTTCATGGTCCCCTCCTCTCCTGGTGTGTGTGTGGGTGTGTACATAGCTCTGCTCTGAGCTGGGCAGAGGGCACCAGCCTGAGGGCAGGACTCCAGGGCCCAGGCCGGTGGTGTCTCTGATTCAGGGTTGTCCCAGAGCTGGTGCCTCCCTCTTGCCAAAACTTAGCATCTTTACTGTGGTTTGGGGACAATCCCCTGGTTCTTGGGGGGGGGGCAGGAAAGCACTCAGCTCCACAAGGAATGAAATGGTGGACACAGCAGCAGGGCACGTGGCTGGCCAAGACGTTATTATTGTGGATATCTGGGGGCTGTGGGCCTCTCCCCCGCCCACCCTCACCCACCCCAGCCCACCCCACCTGCCCAAATAGCTGGAGTTGCTCATGAACAGGAAGGCGCTGGACAAAATATTCACCCCACCAGCACTGGCCATGGCCCACTCCCCCAAACCCAAAACTAGGCACTTGGGCTAAGGCCCCCAGGTCTCGAGGACCTCTCAGCATGAGCAGGCCTACAAACCTGAGCTGGTTCAGATAGAAGGGACTCCCAGCCCCTCTGGGCTCCTGAGGACATGGGGGAGGGCAGAAGGCGTACGGACAGGCCTCCAGCTCGATTCATGGACTGGTGGGCTGCTCTGTGGGGCTGGGCTCCTGGGTAGGCACCTGGCTGGTGGGCTGCACCGTCTGCACCGTCTCCTCCAGGCTGGTGCTGGGGAACACCACGTAGCGTGTGGTGGTCAGCTCTGGCGGCTCCCGCTCGTTCTCTTTGCTGTGCCAGATGCCATAGCCAAAATACACGGCAAGTCCTGCAGGAGTTGTGAGAGACTGAGGGCCGGGTCCCAGCCCTGCTTGCCCTCCTTGCCTGTCTTCTTCCTGTGGCCCACCCAGGGCCCCAAGCCTGGCCCCCACTCACCGATCAGCAGCCAGATGGAGAAGCGCAGCCAAGTCAGGTAGCTTAGCTTCAGCATGAGGCAGATGTTGAGAAGGATGCTCAGGGCTGGAGTCAGGGGCACCATGGGGATCTGAGGGGGCAAGAACGGGGGTGGGCTGGACTGCAGGGAAGGTCTGCTGGCTCAGGGTCTGATTTCTCAAGAGTCCACAGAGCCTTTCTCCATCTCTGGAGATTTGGGAAACAAGAGCCCACTTGCCATGCAGAAAAAGAGAGGGAGATGGGTGTATGGGCCTCCCCCACCCTGTGAACCCTGGTTCATCCTGGCACAGCAGAGGAGGAAAGGGCAAAGAGAGCTAGCTGGGCTGATAGCCAGTGGGCATTGGCTGGGGGAGGTACCTGGAAGGTGTCTTGCTGGCGCTGTTGCTGGTGGGCCCCCAGGACGAGGAGGCTGAGCAGAAATGCGACGGAGCTAAGCAGAAGCAGCAGGATGTAGCCCCAGTATGGGAGGTGCAGGGCTGAGTCCCCGAAGACCAGTACACAGTCCAGGGTGATGGCCGAGGCCACCAGGATGCTTAGTGCCCACGCCACAGCAGCTCCAGGGCTGCACCTACCTAGGAAGCCCAGGTAGGGCCTCAGAGCTGGCCGCAGCTGCCCAGGCTCGGGGGCTGAGGCCTGCTCGGTGCCCACCAACTGTATGTGGTCTGAGAAAGAGTGGTACTCTTTGACCCTGGAGCCAGGGCTGGCTGGGCCTGGGGAACTGGATGCAGGGGCCTTCTGGAAGCGTAGCACAAGAATACTGGTGGCCACGAAAGTGTAGGCCAGCAGCGTGCCAATGGACAGGAATTGGACCAGTGCCTCAAGGTCCAGCAGCAGCGCCAGGAAACTCATGAGGCTCCCAAACACAATGATGCCCGCCAAGGGCACCTGCGTCCGGGGGTGCACTCGGGCAAACACCTGGAAGAAGAGCCCGTCGACGGCCATGGCATAGACGATGCGTGGCAGGGAGAAGAGGCTGCTGAGCAGGACAGTGTTCATGGCTGTGGCAGAGGGTGGGGGACTGGTCAGCATGGTGGAGAGGCCCACCAGGGGTCCCTGCTGGGAGGCAGAGCATGCACAACCCCTTGGGAACATGGGCATGAGTTTGTCTGGGATCTCAGAGTGAGCCTGAGTGTATGTGGGTGTTGGATTGTTACCCCACCACCCCCACCCCCTCCACAAGGAATGGGACACCCTAGTTTAGGTGACAGGCCCATCAGAGAATCTGATGAGGGCTGAGTCCTTCTCCCAGGAAAGGACCCGGAAGCGCACTTTCAGAACTGACATTTTAGGTACCATTGGGAGGGGGCAGTGAGTAGGGCCCTCCCAACAAGCCTGGGTGGAGAGTCAAATGATTAGCCCCTTCCTGGACCCATTACGTAACTAGTAACAGACCCAGATGGGGACGTGTTCCCCGGGAAGCTTAGGGCAGGGCCCCACTGCCCTGTTCACTCCCACCACGCCTGAAAGGCCCCTTACCGCAGATGGAGCCGGCTGCCACGATGAAGCCTGCCCAGCTGTAGCCCCGCCGATAGAAGGCGTCGGCGAGTGCGGAATCAGGGTTCAGGCTGTGCCACGGCACCATGAGGGTGAGCACGGTGGAGACAAGGATGTAGGCACCAGCTGCCAGGCCGAGCGAGATGGAAATGGCTATCGGCACAGCTCGCTTTGGGTTCCTGGCCTCCTCGCTGGAGGCGGCAATGACATCAAAGCCCACGAAGGCGTAGAAGCAGGTGGCGGTGCCAGCCATGATGCCGGAGAAGCCGAAAGGCGCGAAGCCCCCCTCCTCGGCACTCCAGTTGTGCGGGCGGGCCAGGATAAAACCCAGGATGATGATGAAGAGGATGAGGACCAGGCTGACCACGGAGAAGGCGTGGTTGAGCCAGGAGGAAACTCGGGCTCCACAGGAGATGAAGGCGGAGGCCAGAAGTATGATCC